TATGAAATTATTGTTATGGATTTTATTATTTATGTTGGGGTGATTGTAATCCAAATTGAAAATATAATAATGTGATTGACGTTTTGATGTTTGTACAAGTTGTTTGGGATATATTGAATGTGGTCAAGTTCCCACACATTGACTATTAGCTTTGAAATTGAATGTTTTTAGGAATTGGAAAAGTGATATTTGGTAACCAAATGATTTTTTGTGAATTAAACTATCAAATATAAGTATTTTTATGTGAAATCAAAGCCAATAGCTAGATTTTATTTTTATGTGACATTTGAGTCATTTAAATTTTTTTTTAGGGGTGGGTTGTGTGTGAAGTTATCGAATTTTGAAGTTTATCATTATTCATTCTAGTATGGTTCTTCTCAAGTGCTATATGCCATGAAGGATTGTACATTGGCCGTGGTACACGACACAAGGGGGGACTTTACTCTCTGTGTAATAAGTCGCAGCAAATAGTGCTTCAACCACCACGTATCGTCTCTAAGTCACCAGCCATAGCTTAAGATGCATGTGCCATGGCAGATGTGTTATGTTTTACAATAATGCCCCTGTTTGTATTTTTAAATGTATAACAATAATTTTTCAGCTTTTTACCCTTAAATATATGTTGGACTATTTTACGCTTATACATCATATTCTAATATTATTTGGATTTCTTGGATACAAACTCCTTTCTTTCTGAATCTCATTTGTCCATTAATTATTTGTTAAATGAAATATTTTTTCATTGTGGTAACTTTTATTATTAAGTCTATTTCTTTCTACCACAATACATTCTTTTCTACCATGATAGTCAATGCATAGTTTAGTTTGTTATTTAAGAAAATCTTTTTCTTTCATAACATTCTCTAAAGTTGGTTTCTTTTTTCTTTCTTTCTTTCTTTGTTTTTTTTTTAACCATGGTAGATCCTTTCTTACCATGGTAGTAATTTAAAGGGATTAGTTTCATTTTAGTTACCATGGCACTGTTCTACCATGTTAGAGCTAAGCTTTTACGGATTGTAAATTAATCATGTGTTATTTAATTAAATAAGTGAATGTCATGTGTTGTTTGGATTTTATCATCATGTGTGGAAGTGGTTGCTTCACTTGAAGGCAACTAAGCCATGCTTCGGAAGTGCTTGTGTGGTTTTCTCTCCATGCAACCTTTTTCTAGTGAATGCTCATAGTGGCACCAGTGTCCTTGAGGTGGCATATCTCCTTGCTTGGGATGATAGCACTCTGTGAAGCATCCTTTGATGGCGAGTTCATTTTAGCTTCTTTTTCTGTTGATGCAACAGCTATCATACACTCATATCGCATTTGCTTCAAGACTTATGTTGTCTGCATACCTCTTTTTAATTTTCTTTGCAAGTTATGTTTGTTTGTATTTTTTTCTCACCCACATGAAACTAGTCATTTAGTTCATTTGGGCTTGTATATATACTCTTTTTATCTTTAATGATTTTTTTATTTTTATATAAAAAAGATAATACTAATTCACAAATGATTGTCTTTATATAGATATATTTAAATTCCTACAGATGCACCACCAAGGACTCTTCTAGAAATACATTAATCTTTTTCTTTGTAATACCATTAACTACCATAGTAATTCGGTCTATGATTTTACCCATTAAATGCTATAGATATTCTTAAAGATACATTAATCTTTCTCTTTGTAATACCACATAATTGTTGTAAAAAAATCAGTTTAATTATGCTTCTGTTCTCGTTAAATGAACAAGTTGAATAATCTTAGTTCGCAAATGACTGATTTTGAGGACATTTATGAATTCCGTGCAAATGTATAAGTATGAGCTCTTCTAAAAATACATTAATGTTTCATTTTTCTCAAATATGTAAAAAGTCCATGTGTAATTTTTCTCATTAAATGCATAGGATAAATAACCCTAACCTACAAATGATTAATTTTATATATATTTTTGAATTTTAAGCAAATGCATAGCGAAGGACTCTTCAAAAAATACATTAATCTTTTTCTTTGTAATACCGTACCATTGAAAGTCGGTCTTGATTTTGTCAGCCCATTAAATGCACGAAAAATAGATAATCCTAATTCGCAAAAATGATTGATGATTTTAATTTGCATAAATATTTTTAAATTTGTTATAAATACACCATTAAGAGCTCTCCTAGAAATTAATACATGAAAAAACTGAACAACTGCTATTTGATATTCTCTTTATCCCAAATTATAAAATACTTTTAGATAAAATTATACATACCAATAAATCTCATTAAATACACTTAATAATCTTATCTTTTTTAAATAAAAATATAAAATTTTTAAAATATCCATGATTTAATACATTGAAAAGAGAAGAGATGAAAATTAATTATAAAAAAAATACTATTAAAATTAATACATTTAATAAAATCTTAATTTATTTAAAATATTTTATATTTTAAAAAAATTTAAAAAAATATTTTATAATTTAAAACGTGAGTGTAACTTTTTTAATAAATTTGCATTTAATGCAATGAAGCCACTAGGTTTTGGTCATTGCCGAGTGTGACCAATTATCAGTGGGTAAAACCACTGGTCATGCATTGACTTCACTACTTTTTCATTTAATAATTCAGATTTGGTAAAATCTCTAAATAAAAGCGAACCATCTTATTATTATATAAAGCCTCTCTCAATCCCTTAATTCCTCCTCCTCCTCCTCTTAAATCTGTGTTTTTTCAGTCTCAGAAAGATAAATCATGGACTGTGAAAGAACACAAATATTAACTAATTTTCCTGGAAATAAAATTATTAGTAACAGAAATGATGCTCCGTTTGAAGTTAATGTTCTGGTTGTTGATGGCAATGCTGCTTCGCTTGAGATTACCTTGGGATTACTCGCTTCTCTGAATTATAGAGGTAATTAAAAATATCATATATCTGTTTATTTTGTTCTTTGTTTTCCTCATGGTCAAAATTTTGCTAATTAAATTATAAAATATAGCAGAATTCATATGTATGATGGAAGGAAAAATGAATTGGGATGTATACAGAAATTTTTTGTCCGAATTAAATTTAACGAAATTTATACAAGAGGCCTATTTTTTTAAGTAAGCTTTTAAATAATCAAGCGCCCAAGCTGCCAAGAAAATGATTCCGTACTACAACCCTGACTCATATATTATTATTATTATTATTATTATTATTATTATGAATGTTGATCAATTTTAGGAAAAATGACTATTTAATATACTCTCTTATTTTTAATTGATACTATATTTTTTAAATTTTTATAGTTTGTGATTTGCTATTATTACTCTAGAATTTGCGAATAGAAATTATTTTGGAATTAAATTGATTTTTAGGGGTCAATTGTCATTGATCCTTTATTTTTATTTTTTTGATCGATACATTATTGATCCTTTATAGGTTGTTTTCCTATGGATATATTTGTCTTACAAATTAACTTTTATGACTATAATGAAGATTTTTAAAGATTTAGATCTCTTAATTTTAATTAAAATTTTAAATTGACTTTTACTTAATACATTTATAATTCTATAAAAATCATTTTTACTTAATATCCACAAGGCCGTGTGTGGCTTTTGGTCATTAAGGCGGCAATCTTTAGACCTCAAAATCTTGTTTATAATTTATTTGATCATTATTTTTTTTTTCTATTAACAATTTGTATCAATCTTATTTACAACTTTCTATTAAAAATTTATTGCGACCTCAATGCTTTGTCAACAACAATTTTCACCCCCCTCTTTCTATATCTATCCTATCAATTTGGTAATGAAATTAATGTATTTGTGAATTAATTGAATTTCTCAGCTGAAGGAACAAAACATCCATTGATAGCTTTGGAAAGACTAAGAAGGAAAGAAGAGCATTTCGACATAATTGTGATAGACACTCATTTGCCAGACATTGATGGATTCCAACTAGTACACAAACTTGTTGATCACCATTGCTCAATACCTTTCATAAGTAAGTCCCATTAATTTCTTTCTTCTTTTTCAACTACACATGAGCATGTATGTTTTTTTATTATTGGATATAGAAATGAGTTGAATATATTAATAATGGCCAAACAAGGCATTACAATTTTATTTTATTCTATATATACATACACATCACATTACTTCATCAGGTATAGGACCTCAAATAAAATGAATGTTAGAAGGTATAGCCAGTAAAACAGATTTTGCTTGGCTAGCTAATGATGCCAAATTAAATTTTTATTTAAGGACAAATAATTGTTTTCAATATGAGTGTATGTTAGAAACAACAGAAGGATAAAAGACTAAATAATTTGAAATTAAATAGAAGTAAATCAAAAGAAGAAAAAAAACGAAAGATAACACAAAATTTAAGTTTAGAAAATCTCAATGTGAGGGACAAAATTAATGGCTGGGCAACGATAAGTGAGAAATTTTAGGAAACAAAATATATTTTACAATTATCGTTTCATCTTTATGAGAATGTAGAGACTAGAATAGATATAAAATTTCTAAAAAAAGCTAAACATATTAACTGAACCAATAAATAATATCTCCTGAAATCTCAATTATATATATAAAATAAAGATAATAAATTTTAATTAAACTAATATATTAAATAAGACTAATCATAATAAATTATAAAAATTCGAGTGATAGTCTCAGCAACGTATTATTTAGGTAAACAATATAAAAATTTTTGTTAAAATGAACATCATTCTCCCCATATAATTAGAGTGAATTATATATATATATATATATATTATTTAGAACTTGTGAATTAGGTGATCACTTTCTATAAATTTTATAAATATATTGAAAAATTGAGAGAATATTTGTAAACTAGTTAGTAGCCTATCTAGAGTTATCAAATAGACTAACCTGATGAACTGTGTTGGGTCAATCGTGAATTAGACAATTTTGCCCCTATTAACCCCCTTAAATCCTATTTAGTGCTAATTTTTATTGATTTGATCCCTTAAATTTTCCTCGTCAACTAATCATGCACTCTCATATATACAGTGATTTCGATGGAGAGGGATGAGAGAATGATGGAGAAAGCGTTGAATAGTGGTGTGGTGGTACGTTACATTGTGAAACCAGCAACAGCAAGTGACTTCAAAGGTATATGGCAGTACACAATACCTTCAATAGTAATGAAAATGAAAGGTAAGAAGAAGCCAACATCTTCATCATCACCACCATTAATAAGAAGCACAAGAGATCAACAAGATGATAATAACATTGAAGATTCTTCATGGACTACTAGCAAAGGACATCATAATTATTATAAAGACATCATCATGTCATCATCATCATCACCACCACCATTGAACAAAATTGTCAAAAGAAAGGAGTTTGTTGTGAGGGCTTCAAAGAATGCTGCTGCTTTTGAAGGCGGCGGCGAGAACAATGGATCATCGTCGTTGTCTGGGGTTATCAAGAAGAGCAAAGTTGTGTGGACAAGCGATCTTCAAAGCCGTTTTTTACAAGCCATAAACATTATTGGGTTAGAAAGTAAGTAATTTTTTCCCTCCTTAATTAGTGTGGGAATGATGTTTTGCATAGGGCTTAAGAAATTAGTCAAAGTGTTGATAACTTATAAATTTTATCACATGTTAATTAGAGTTTTATATTATATATATGGTTAAATCGCAAATTAGCCCCTAAACTATAGGTCTAGAAGCATCTAAAACTTTAAACTCATTATTTCCCCTCAACATTTCAAAACGGTATAATATTGTCTTTTTATACAATTCACCAATATTAACTTTGACTATTAGTTGTTCAAAAAATTACAGAAAATGACCTCAAAAATCACAAAAAAAATGACCAATCATATGTAACTTTTGGCTTCTTGTCTGTGATAGTTTTTGTAATTTTCTAGTTAATTAATAGTTAAAGTTAGCTTTTGCTAATAATAAGGGTCACATTGTACTATTTTTAAAAGTTAAAATAAACCTATATTTCTTGGATAAAGTTACTCTTTAATCCTTTTTTATATATAGATATATTACTTTACATACGTTAGTGTCATGATGTTTTTTGAGCTTTTTGGTGTATGCATATTCAGATGCAGTTCCAAAAAAGATTCTTGAAGTCATGCAAACACCAGGACTGACTAGGGAAAATGTGGCAAGTCACTTGCAGGTTTGTGTCCTTTTTAACATAAAACCAATCCAGATATTGATTAATTATAATGATATAATCGAACATATTTAATAGCCTGTAATTAATTTTAATTAATCACATATTATTATATGTGTGTGCGTATTCTATACTAGCTTTTTGGATGCAGTTGAAGTGAAAGATTGATTATCTTCACGGGGGGAAAAAAAGAGCAAAATCCAGACATGTCTTTTATTCTCAACATTAAGTGCATATTTATAAGTATTCAAATTTGAAAGAAGCGCTCATTATAATGAAATAAAAAGCTCATTGAGAAATGAAACAGACATAAATAGTAAATAAATAACAATAAGAAATCCTATTTTTTTATATATTATGTTGAGTTTATATGTGAGTATAGAAATAATCATTCATGCACACCAAATGTAATGCTTGCCCCACTCTAGAATCGGGTCAAGCCTTGTGTTGTGATATCTAAAATTACTCATGTCAAGCTCCTACTTTAATTTTAGTAAAAAGAACATAATTTTCGTGAATTGATAATCATGTTTTATTAATATTTAATTATCTTCTATTAGATATGAATAATTAATAAAATCTTGATCTGATGAATATTTTGCAGAAATATCGGCTTTTTCTAAAGAGAGTGGCTCGGATGTTTGCGATGCTAATGAACCATGAGACAAACAAGAAGGATGTATTCACAAGTTTGGGATCAAAGTACCCTAATTCACTGATGTTAAAGAACATTAAAGAGGAATTCAGAAGAATGTTAAAGTTCAGAAAACTTAGATCAACTTTTTCTTCTTCATATCCTTATTCCTCATCAGCCAACAAGAACCCTAATTCTTCTCCCTTATTCAAACCAACATCCATGTTTCAGTATCATCATCATTCTAGCTTCCCAAAGTCTCATCATCGTCATTCTACTTTTTCATATTCCACCCCAAAAATGAACGCTTATGAAATGTTACAGGATCAAATAATGCCTGCAAGTACTTCAAGTAATATTCACACCAACAATTTCACTGGCACTGGATCAGGGTTTGCATCAGCTTTTGATGAACAAAGGGATCAGATGATTCAGCCTATTGGATCAAATATTGGTGTTTCAAACACTTATTATGATTCTTGTGGGTATAATATTAATAATGATAATTCCTTCATCAATGGCTCATCAAATTTCGGTTATTTGGTTGATGGAAGGTTAAGTCCCTCTAGCTGTGAGCTTTTTAGGTCAAATCAAAGTATGGCAGATAAAGCGGGAAGCAATAATGACAATATTCTGGAGCAAGAAAATCTGTACGAGGTTTTGAATAATGAAGGAGATCACAGTTATCAAACTATTGAAGTTGAAGGGAATTACAATAATGACGCCTCACTTGTGCCACTAGCTCAGTATTCAAACTTCAGCACTGGATTTGATTACTGTGGTGATATCATCATGGAAGAATTAAATGATAATGGGCAGTTCTCTAATCAGGTATGTCTAATTATTTTCTAATGTGTTTACTATGATATTTTTTAATTAATGAATTAAAATTTTTTATCTAAACAGATTACAAGATTTTTAATAATTAATTTGATGAATTAAAGTGTAAGCCTTTTCAGTTTATCCCATAAAGTAGTGTTTTCCCTTAACCAATTTTGTGCCCAATTTTTCCTTAATTTAGTCTTTTAGTAAATCTAAAATGTAAAAAACCTTAGAAATTAAGAAGTACTGTTATGTTTGGTAAATGAAATTTAGTTAGCTCAAATCCTAATTAAATGGAAAATACCCGAATTTTAAAAATAGATAAAAATAATTTCTTGTGCATATTATACAGCATTATATAACTGTTAAGCGAGATAATCAATATTGTTCACCAGCATTTCAATTAATTTCCATTTCTATTTCTAATATATATACCTGCAGCAGCAAGAAAATCAAGAAGTGGCTGGCAAAGATATTGACCCAAGAGTTGAATCTACCAATGACTATTTTCCATCATTTGACCAAATCTCTGATCAGGCAAGTTTTATAATTAGTTTTCGATTCTTCTCATGTTTTTATTCCTTCATTTGAAATTCCATGTTACTCATTTTTCAATCTGTGCCTGCATAATTTTTATAGCTGTGAAAAATTAATAAAAATCTTGAAAAACTAATTAGGTCATGTTTGGGGGTTAATTAGGGATGTTCTGTTCATTTGAATTTAGTTTTCAAAAACCTAACATGTTCTAAGTGAATGCATTTGAATTTACAACTTTCTACATATTTATATGTCGAAATCATTCACTACTAGTGTTGAGTTTTTAATGCCTCTTACATGTTGTGAACTAACATATATTTAATTTCCTGTTTCATTTTTAAGTGTATGTACTTGCAATAAAACTTGGTAAAATGTTTTTACTTTGATTTCTAATTAATCAATTGTTAATCCAGTCTATATTGACGTGTTTATATATAGTATTTAATTATAACTAATATATGTTCAATTTGTATATACATATACAGTTAATGGAAAGCCTGAATTTCTCTGAGAAAGACTTGGAAAATCTCAACCTCGAACAAATTCCCCAGGCATGCACACACACACACACACACACACACATTGAATTAGTTAATTCGCTTCAAAGTTTATTCAATTACTGCTTAACTTGTTTCTTTTTCTTATTAATTTATATACCTCCATTAATTTTTCTCAGGATTGGGACGATGACTTCCTGGAATCTTTATTCAACAATGGACTGTAACTAAAGTTCAATGAATTTAAGGCCCTCTGTGTGTGTGTGTGTGTGTGTGTGTGTAACATTTCAGAATGAACTTGAGCTAGCACCGATGTTGTCCTCTTTTGAATTCCCATAATTAGAGATTTTTCTTTGCATAGTGTAATGTGTATATTTTTATATTTTATAAGACATGATAGTATAAGTTTAAGTAAGATGGATTTTAAAGCCTTATTATGATCAATATAGGTTATAGTTCAAAGACTGCATACTAATGTATTTACAGATTATTCATTAATAAATTTTTCATATTTTCAAATTGGTTGCATATCCTTATTAATCGAATCATTGGTTATATATATATTGGAATGAGAAATACTTGCAATTGCATATATATGTATATATATTTCACACACTAGTGGGAAGATATTAAGGAACATGCAGATCAAATATTAAAATAACACATTGTAAAACAAATATCAGCACTTGAAATTTAATTAGAAAAGTCTAAATTCTTATATATAACCTTTGAAAAAACAATTAATTTTTATTTTAAAAGAATGTTATAAAAATGAATCTTTTGTTTGAGTTATTACTATAAGTTTAATATTGTTTTCCTAAATAACTAATGGGGGTTGGATCTAATGAAAAGAGATGGTCCCTTACAATGTGGTGAACTAAGGTTGAAATTTTCAGTGAAAAAAATACCTACATTTAGTGCTATATTGCCTCTAACCACATATCTTACATGTGTATTTCACCACTATGGATTTGTCTATTTTTTTACGGTTATTTTTGCCTATATTTGACGATCGACAACCATCAAGTATAATCTAGTCATATATTGAGGTGGCTATATTTGACAATTAAGGAACCATCAAATATTATGCATAAATATTTCATAGTTGTTATCAACTGTCATATAGGTGCTCATCTTTGGCTAATAATATGAGTTATGAGGGAATAGTTGATGGTTATCATATATAACTATTAAATATATCATAACCATCAAATATGCCCCTTTTTTTTTCAAAAAAAGGGGGGCTGCATATCTCATAGCTTCCCTGCATTACAAACCAGAATATATGTATTCAGAATAAATTTAAATATTTTTAGTCTAAAATACTTCTAATACATAAATTAAAACTAATCGATTGAAAATATATACAATAATGATAGAATACATTTATTACACATTTTTAGTTGTCAATTAGGACCATTTTATTAAGGTTTTGTCATCTCAAAGTGCACACATTGCATTATAATTGAAAAATTGCTTGAGTGTCTAGATTTAGTGCACTAGGAGTATTTTGTTCCAAAAATAAACTTTTGAGAAAATTTATAAAAAAATTGACAAAGTACATTTTATGTCTAAAAGATGAGTGATCATATTATATTTTTAAAATTCATTTTAGTTTGAGAGGAATTAAATAAAAAGTCAACATCCTTTTAAGTGTATTAGTTTAACTTAATTTTTGGTTTGCCTTTATATAGAAATTTTTATCTAATTTTGAGCAGCTTAGAACTTAGTTATTTTAATAAATTCTCCCTTTTAATTATAAATTTAATTTTAGACTTTAATTAAATTTTATGATGTCACATGTTATTTAATTGAATTATGTGATTTATGTGACATAAGTGACATATGACTTATACATTAATTGGGTAATTGAAATCAACACTTCTCAAGGTCAAAGTTGAGCATTGGGACACTTTTCTTCATTAATTAGGGGATTAAATTAGTTGAAAATGTTGATGACACATAAAAAATTAGACATATATTGGAATTATCTACAAGTCAATAGGAGGATGCTATCTTACAAGTATGACAAAGTTCTCAATTTCCTTTTATTTTATTTTCTTATTTTTTAATTGTGATCAGCTGAAGGGAATACTAGGAGCACATCCATTCTCACCCAAATTCAGATTCACCCCACCTCATTTCAGCATCTCTTCCATTCTCTCTCTATTGTTCATAGTGTTTTCCTCATTTTCTTTATTTTGTTCTTTATTTTTCAGCACCCTACCTTCATTTTCAGCCATCAAACCTCCACAAAACTCACACCATTCTTCTCCTCTCCTCAATTTTGTTCCATCCCTCCCATTTTCTCAAGGATCCAAGCTCTTCTTCTTCATCCAAGGTGCTAAGATGTTCGGCTACTATGCTCTTCTTCTAGGGTTCTTGAAGATGATGAAGGTTGGCTAAGTTTTTTAGTGAAATTCTAGAGAGATAAAGATAGAGAATGAGTCTTGAGCTTCAAATTGGCCAATTTCTTTTGTTTCCTACTATCTTCTCTTTTTACTAGATGGTTAGATTCTTTAATCTAGGATTTAATCATTTTAGCTTGTAAATTTTAATTTGAATTTGGTTTTAATGTAAAGATAAGATGGTTGTTCCACTTAATTTCTTCCTTAGCTGCCATGACTAAATTTTTTTCACTTTTTATTTGGCACATAATCTTGTATTTTTCAATTAGTGAATTACATGTGTTAATGTAACATAATCTTGTGATATTAATGCTTGAATTGTTGAGCAGCTTAACATAATCTTGTGGTTACTCGATTCCTTGTCTTTGTCATGGCATTTGAGGGGGAGGTTTGAGTGAGTCACTTGGATAATTTCTTCACCAATTGGTTAATTGGACTAGCTAGGGACTTTAATCTAAGACCTAAGAAAGTTAGCTAATTAGGTTAATTAGCTTAGGATAATTTTTCTTAAGTCATGACAGCTTTAGTCAAAAGGAAAGGGAGGCTTAACTTATCCTAATCATGAGAAGATAATGAGTTTAAAATTAACTAATCTCTAGAGTTCTACTCTTATGAAAAGAGATCTTCATTTTACTTACTTTAATCAGCATTTTAATTAATTGCATATTAGGTAATTAGTTTAGATAATTAGGTAATTAAATTCCAACTCTTTGGGTGACTTATTGCATTAGTTAACCTTTTGTTAAATGTGAAACCATTCCTTGAGAGATGACCTAGGATTGGCCTTATGTTGTATTAGGATAAGTGACTAATTCCTATCAAATAACTATTTTTCATATATAATAGTACTGAATCTTCTGATAAACGTAATCTAAATCGAAGTTACCCCCTATGAATTTGTCACATATTGAGCTAGCAACTGGAATGAACTTGACACCACTCCTTGATAGCTTCATTGATACTAGCATTTCTAAATACTTCACAATACATGCTTGGGTAGTGCTACATTATAAATAACCAAAGAAAAGTTAGTTGATATATTTTTAATATTGTAAAATAATTGAACTTAAATGACACAACACACACACAACCGTTGGAGGAATGACAGTCCATTGATGAGTGATGATATCTTTAAGATACCTCATAAGGCAATATCTATAGTCTACTTGGGCTATTATCCTTTTCTCGAGGGAATTTAAAAAAAAAACCAATAAAAATATATTAATGACTTAGAACTAATAAGCATATAATAAAGACAATATTCAAAAGCAATACCTTAATTACATTCCAACTATAGGCTTGATCATATTTCTTGTCTCTTAGAATACTAAGTTGTGTTTGGGAGCGATATAACACCACAGCCCTAATAAACAAACAAAAATTGTTGATGTTTAGAATTTGAAAGAACAAAAAATACATAAGCTAATCAAGAAGCTTATTTATTAAACATCTCCATCATATTTTACCAATTACTTGGTAGCTGGCTAGCAAAATCCAATTAGTAAAATCTTGGGTATGTACCATTTGGTTGGAAGGCAATTAACATTCAATAGTTCCTAAGAGAATTTAAAAATGTTATAAAATGAAATTCTTGAAACAAAATTAATTTGACAAGTTCAAGTAATTTACTCTTACCCTTGTATGTAAGGTGCTAAGAATAATAGTTCCTTTGAAGGATTATTATTCCTTGTCTCAAAATACTTGGACAAAGCAACTAATTGAGCTTTATGACTCTCGGCAAATTGGTCACGATGAGCAGTGATGTCATAAGGACATAGAAAGATGAATTTTGAGGCAAGGTTGGTAGGGAAGATGAAATTTTCATACATGTACCTAAATGAAGAAATCTATCCATGAGTCATGAGCCACCACATGCAAGAAAATCTCTTTTTAAGCTAAATGAAAATAAATACTTACAATTATATTTAATTTTTCAAGAAATTAAGTATATATTGCAACTATTAAATGAAAATTCAGCAGTATAACATTTTAAAAATGACACTTTCCTAGGCATATACCCTCTATTCATACTTAATTTCATTCCTATTCAATATAATTTAATTACTTTTAAACAAAAATCTAGCAGCATAGCAACTTAAAAATGGGACTTTTCTTGGTCATTTTACCCTTATTTCACAGTAAATTTCATCTCTATACAATTGAATCCAACCTAATTTAACTCTACTTAGCCATAACAAAAACAAAATTCATGATACAATAGCATCAATATATATTAATCCAAATCTTTTCATATTATAACAACCACTAGGTAGAAAATTTCAACATAAAAATCACAAAGGTAGAATAAATTGCAAGAAAATCCATGTTTCCAACACACAATTCTAGGTAGCTTTAAAACCAACAAATTCAAGTTGTACTAAATATTAATCAATAAAAAAGTATAGTAACATGTTCAAATTTCAATTTCCATTCAATATATGTTCAAAAAATGCAATTCCAACAATCAAAAATCAAAATCATTAGCAATAAGTAATTCTTAAACAATATAAGTAGAATTACTCACCAAAGATTGAGGAAAAACAAGCCACAATGTTCCAATCACGTTGGCCAATGGATACCTAATAACAATTTCACGCAATTTACAGCCAAAATGAGCATAATGGAATTTTTAAATCAATATGGGAAGTTTGAAAATGCTAAACAATGATAAATTCCAACACCCTTATGTTAGAAACATAAAAAGTCACTCACCAGTAGTCATAGAGCCAAAAGAGAGTGAGCAAGGATGAGATTGAATCTCAAAATGAGTAGAGGAAGTGCGAAACCTCAAATAAATGATGGGGAAAGGCTGATTTTAAGTTGAAAGCTTCAAATGGGAGTGGGTTGGACGAAATCATGGAGAAAATGGGTGGGGGAAACTATTGCAATATCAACAACGTAATGAAGAAGAAAAACAGTGCAAGGGCTTTTTAAATTTCAATACTTGATGGTTGTTTATTGAAACTATCAAGTATATTGTAAAATATTTAATGGTTATTTCACTAAAACCATCAAATATGCAAAATATATTTTCTTTAGAAAAAAATATTTTCTTAAGTTTGATAGTTCTCCTGCACAACCATTAAGATTCTATATTTTATTATATTTGATAGTTAACATAGGGAACTGTCAAATATAAAATTCCGCCTTTGTATATTTTACGATTTCTTAAATAACTATCAAATGTAAAGCATCATTTATGGCCAAATCTATAGTAGTGTTTACAATTATTGGTAATTAAATAAAATGAACAAAAACGCATTATGCTCAATAAAATACAAACAATTTAAGTTTTTCGTTTATATAAAACAAAGAAGGGAGCCAATCAAGGATGGAAATCACAGAAAATAAATAACAAAATTATTTTTTCAAGGATTTTTCATTTTTATGTTATCATTGAATTCCTGAAATTGATGAACCTGGGAGAAAACGTGATAAACTTCAACTGTCAAGTACAATATTTGCAGCATTATTGACAGATTTTATAATAAGGGTTATAACAGTCAATTACACTAGCCCTTGTCCTTCATAATAATTTTAAATTTTATGATGTTTTATAATAAATTTTAGCAATTTTAATTCCATCTCCCTAATTTTCCCTAGAAATAATTTTAGATGTTCACTTGAGGGATATAATTTGTATTAATTTGCTTAAATATTTTTTGATTCCAAGACTCATAGCATCACCAAAGTAAAATTGTAATAATTATTTTGATAAAAAAGTGAAAATTTCATTATGTATTATAAATATAGACAACAGCGTTCTTGCTTCCGTAGCATAGTGGTAGTACGGGAGCTTCGTACGCGAAAGTGAAAATTTACCTATTTTCAGTAATAAAAAATGTCTGTGTTTTTTGACCTTCAATTTCTCTTGGCTCCTGAGTCTTAACGATATAATCGCGAGATTATTGAATTCAACTGAAGGCCCATTATTTCTCATATCGTGAGTATCATATAATTTCTTCAATGGGAACCACACAAAAATTAATGGCTTGCTTTCTGCAACAACATTGAGCCATCAGATTGAGAAAGAAACGGAGAGAACCAGAAGCATATAATTTCTCGTTGCTCCTTATATATATATATATATATATATATTTCTCTCTTTCCTCTCTTTTTTATATGTATGCATATGATAAGGCACTTTCCAGTGTTGTTTCGTTACAAGTTTTAATTTGAGGATTTTTATTGTGAAGAAAGAAAACAAATACAAGTGAAAAATGCAGGCTATAAAGGAAAAGATTCAAGATATGAAGGCCATGAAAAGTGTAAAGGCTGAAGCCAGAGCTGAAGAAAAGGTTTGAGAAAAATTAAAGCATCATGCTAATGACATGTTTACCTATATATAATTTCAATTGTTTATAATTTTTCATTCTCATTTTTTTTATAAACATCTCTTCATTTTTCAATTTATCTATGTTCTTATCCAAAGTATATTATTCCCTTTGTTTTTCTTTCTTATTATTTATTTATTTATTTATTCTCTTTCATTTGAAAAACTTTGAGTGTTTGCGTTGGTATATTCAAACTAGAGTCTAGACACATTGGTTTCATTTTTTTTTTCTTTTTAACTCCATATGATTGTTTTAAAAAAAAAAATCATTCTCAATGCAAGTAGACAAGCTTGAGAGTATATTTTAGATGAGGAATGAGGCGGAAGTGAAAAGTGAAAATTCTCTCTGTAATTTTTATACTATTTTCATATAGCCATCAAGCCACATTATTCATAATCCATTAACAGTATTATTGATTCTTCAAATTAATTTCATATAATGCATGAAAAAATGTGTTTAATTTAAAATTCCACTCCTTTTTCATTTCCTTTAACCCAAACATATACTATTGTATAAATTACTTATTGGGCATGCATATATATGAAAGCCATGAAAAAACTTACAAATTAAAGGTGCTGATTAACATCGACGATCAAAAATATAAATGCAGTAAACTCTGATATCATTTTCAATCTAGGGTTTGAATAGAAGAAAAGGTGGGAGGAAAATATAAGCGAGAGAATACTAGGAAGTAAAGTACTATTTTTAAAACTGCTTTCCTTCCTAATATATTCTTTTTTCCCATATTTTTCTCCCTATCTAAACCAAGAGCAAAGGTGAATAAAATATGCCATATCAAATGCATTAAATCTTATGTATTATCTCTCATTTATGTTACTTTAAATTATTTTAATTTCTTTCCTTTTCTCTCTCCCCTCATATTATGATGATAGATAGATAGATAAAATGCAAGAAATTAAAGAATAACACACAAAATTTTATTTGATTGAATCGGTATAATTTTATTAGATAGAACATAGATAGTATGATACTCCTATTATATGCAATTATTTCTTAAGAGTAGAGAATATACTAGGACGGAAAACTTATTATTTTTGGCCATTTTCTTAACATGTTCTTTTCTCCATATTTTTTCCCCAATCATACCAGAGTAAATGTTGACTAATATTTGAAATACTAGATCATATATATATATGGCTAGTGACAAATTTAAAGGGGGGCATGCAAAGGGTTGTGCCCCCCCCCACTTCAAAATTTTCAATTTTTTTGGGTAAAATTGTATACTTTTGTTCACGAAAAATGTTGAAATCAATTTTAGTCCCCACTTTTAGATAAAATATCAGTTATATATGCTCCCTCATGATGATTTCTGGATTCGTCCCTTAGAGCATATTGTATATAGAATGTTACATGTACATATATATGATAAACATTGATTTGGATTATGTGTAGCAAGAGAAGGAACTTGCAAAATCACATATGGAGATAGCACATGAAGCAAGGTTGGCAAAAGAAGCAGAAGCAGAAATGGAGTTACATGCAGCCAAGGCAAATCGCAAGGCTCAGAAGGAATTGGCAAAGCATGGAGCCAAAAGCCCTAATCCTACTGTCATAGATCCAAACCACCCTGATTACACAGCTCATTGATTCACGTGCACAAATAATATATTATGTGTACACACACATGCATATGTATATACGCATGTATATATAATACTTATGTATGTTTGCATGCAAGCATGAAAAAATTATTGTGGTCAGTCGTTGATCAAATGTGTTTTTGTGGTGTGACCAATTGTATGTATTTATCCATTTATGTTTTTTTTTTAAGGTTGACTCTAATCAAATTGATGTCAATGTATAAATGTAAACATTTGTTGTATAAATAAATATTATTATTATTATTTATTTATTTGTGTGTTTTGTTGAATGAATCCTTTAAATGGAGCTCGCAATATGAGTTGAGCCTAATCAACCTATCGAGTTTTGACCTGTATTGCACAACTTGAACCTGCAGCAGATTGATTTGAGGGTTGACAAGGTAGCCTACTTTTTTTTTTTTGAAAAAAAAAATTATGACTCCTCCTTATTCATATTCAACAATGAGCTTCAATCTTCATCAATATCAACTTATCCAATATAATTAACTAATGTTATTTGTTGCATATTTTTTATATGTTTCTCCCTAATTTTAACAATACAAGTATACAATCTAGTGACCATGCACTATGCATCAAAAGAAGAGAGGCTTTAAAGTACAGTACATGTTAAAAAAACATGCTTTACATACTCGTACATTTGAAGGATTTTGTAGTGTTACATAAAACACGCACATCATATACATGATAATAATTAAGATTTTTCCATGCTTATGAAAATAGTTATTAATTATTAGATGACACTACACAGCTGAGCGAATAATGGAACGAATTAAAATATAGCTGATATGCATTATGTTTGTTTGTGATGGCGTGGATATTTATTTGGAATTGTATTAATGTATTTTAACTTTGTAACGTGTTTTTTAATTATTTAAACGGAGTTTAATTGTTATTTGGATAATTAATTTTTAGAAAAAGATATGAATTTTGTACATTAAAAAAATAGTGAAAAGAGGTGGATTTATAATTTTTAAATTAAAAATATGTAATATATATATATATATATATGTCTGTGTGTGTGTTTAACTGGCAGGTTGGCACCCTATGGGTTGTGGGCTAAGTAGAAATACAACCCGTTAAGATGTGAGTTATGTCAACTCTCACAGAACAGCTCGCAACTCGTAGGTTGGTCCATATATGTATCACTAGCTCCACCCTTAAATGTGTTTCACAATTTTAATTGCAATTATTACACAATGTGATGTGAATTACTGTTTAAATTCCATCTTATTATTCCCCCCTCCTTTAGACACTAGTTGGTCTTTGAATCTTGTTTTGGAATTCAAGTACCCTTGAAAAGTTGAGTTTACCAAGAAAATAAAAAAAAGACTTCATATGGAATTAGAACATAGTTTTCAATGGGCCAATTTGGTTCAGCTTCTTTCATGGAAAAGATCACTTTTACAAAAAAAAATTATTTTGTTATTTTTTATAATATTTGTTTAAATTTTTAGAAATAATCAAAATTCAAAAAAATAAATTTCTAATTATTTTAAAAATTTACTTTGAGTAATTTTTTAAAATAATCTAATACAGTAAATGAGTAAGATTATTTTAAAAAAGTGGGATACATGAAGATATCTTAAGATTTTAAAATAATTAAATAATAAATTATTTTTAGAAATAAACAAAGAACATATAATAAAATTTAAAAATAACTAACTAATAATCACTTTTTTTAGTTATTACTACCAAACATAAAATAATGTATTTTTTTAATAAAATCTTTACAAAATAAATATTTTTTTATAAAAAAATATCTAAACAATCTAAATTTTAATCTTAAACAAACAGGGCTTGAATATTGTAGTTATTAGTTATGACATGAATATCCTTAAAAAGAAATTATAAGAGTAACATTATTATCATTATTATTATTTTAATACATCAGGAAGGCTCGAACTTTTAGCTGCTCTTTACCTACACCCCATCTCGCCTTTATCACCTAAGCTAGTGCCAGATGGTTTTCGAGAGTAAAATTATGATATGGTAAAAAAAAAAAAAAAATCCTTGGAGTCACTTTAATCTTTACGTTAAGTTGTGCTGATTAAGAGAGATGAGTGCTTTGGCCATTGATCCATATCTGAATGTTCATGGTAGATTGACAAGGTTTCGATCCTTTTGTTTTTCCCTCAAACCTAGGGGCGGAACCAGGGTGCAAGCAGTGGGGAGACAAGTTTATAGAAAAACATTAGCACATACTTAGATTTTATATTTTTTTAATATTTAAAATAAGTGATTTAATTAAAATAAATATTATAATCTGAAAAAATTATAAGGTTATAATATTTAAAAATACATAATATTTTTAAATACATAATCATATTAATTTAAAAATAAATATCAAGAAAAAAATATTACATTTTTAATATATTTTGGTATATTCATATGTAAATATATGTTATGTGTTACACACACACATATATATAACATATAAACTTAAAAATAATAGTTGATGCGTGATTTCTAAATTTTGTGAAAAAAAAAAACATGTTGAATAGACTAAAGTGTGACTTTGGCCCTCTAATTTAACATAAGGTTTCAGTTTTGTTCCTATTAAGGATCACCAATCAACTAATAAATAATAATAAGGAAATGTTTTTTTTTTCAAATATTGAAGAAGCTTGTAGTTGCAAAAGAAAATAAAATTCTAGGATGATGGGTCCGTTTGGATTTCAGTTGGGTATAATAGATTATGAAAATAATTGATTAAGTGATAGATTTTAATCATAATTGATTATGTTATAACGTAATCTGTTTGGATACTGTTTTTTTAAAATTAATTTTAACAAAATTGAAGATGTTTGGATAATTTAATCAGAATTAATTTTTAATTATATAAATTACTATATAATTAATTTTTAAATATCAAATATTAATTTTTTGAATATACAAAGTTTAAATTTTATTAAGGAAAAAAAAAGGGAAAAGAAGAGAGTTTAATTTTATTTTTATTAAATTATGTGCTTTCTTTGTAATTTTTTCTTGGGCCATTCTTTGTAATTTTTCCCAACGCTTTTTGATAAACGTTCTGCAAAAGCTGATGGAGAGAACTTACGGAAAAACGCGCGTCCTGACCCATAATCGATTTTTGATGATTTTTGACTGTTTGGCTAACTTTTCATATTAATCGATTTTTTGCCTCAAAAATCGATTAATGAGGCAATCCAAACGGACTGGATGTGAAAGAAGAAATCTTTTACTACCATTCATCGTACAAATAAATACTACTAAAAAATAGACTATCATAATGCTATCTATACAACGGTAATTGTAAAAGCTGTTATATCGTCAAGCTGGGATTAGGGTTTAGAGATTATATCGTGGTTATATTATATAACAGGTATATGAGTGTATATAAATAGAAGTAGGAAAATAGACGGGCCCAACTTTTAGGAGCTTAGACCCATAAGCTTGATTTCTCATAAAATAATTAATTTTTGAAGCTCGGCCTTTATTTAAAAGGCTTAAGGATAAAAATTTTTAATCCTGATCAAATTCAATAAATACAAAAATTTGTGTATTATAGAGTATAACACTAATCAAAACCAAAAAATAGATCTTACAAAGTAATTGTGTAAGGAATCAATAAAAAAAAATTTCAATATCATGTTAAAATAAATGGCAAACAAACCAACATCAATTATATTGACAATACAATACTTAAAAAATTATCGATCTTTTAAGGAACAGAACTTAAAGGGCTACTCGAGCTTTTTTTTAGGGCCTATCAGGGCTTGGCCTAGAAGCTTGATTTTCAAAAAAAAAAAATCACTAATTTTTTAAATTTAAATCCTTATCTAAACAGGACCTTTAAGACCAATCCTCTAGGCTCGACTCTATATATAAAGGTTATTGAATAAAATTGTTATATAATAACTTTTTTTAAAAAAAAAACTTTCTAAAGATTATAATGGTTGTTTACAAACAACTAATGTATAGTCTTTGAAACTATATAACAGTTACTTTATATAGTTTAAATAATGATTATATAGTTTCAACATTGTCTGATATTTTAATGTCATAGTGATTTTTTTTTTTTGTTTTTTTGTTTTACTTAACCATAGTTTCGAGATTATGTAATAGTTGTTTTGAAATAATTGATGTGTAGTCTCATTTAAAACTTTTAGAATGCTTCCATTCCAGCTGACATTACATTTTCAGATTCATCAACTCCGTCCTTCACCAATGAAACCTCTCCATTTCTCCACGAAAACACTCCCCCTTCATAATGAAAACACTTTTCTGGCTTATTCCTATTGTTCTCAACTGTCAACGAGCCTTGCATTGCCACCATCATCCTCTGCTGTTGTGGATATCTTGCTTTTTTTGTTTATTTTTGCCGTTGGGAGTCCATTAGGGGGTCTGTGGGTCATCTATGAATATCGTCTTCTCTTGTTCAATATTTGAATATTAGGTTGGCGATTCTATCCCTAATCTCCCTCCCTTATCAATTTATTGATTTTTGATTTCTTTCTTTTTATGTATGTTGTGTATATTGAGGGGTTCCTTTCATTGTTGTGCTTCTCTGTTTCTCCATTTATCTATAATATATTGTATTTACCGTTGGATGGTACTGTATATCTACAGTACCAACTGACTTTTTTACTTTTTTTTTTTTTAATTTCATTTGTCACTGCTTGGATCATTGTTGGATGACTGGATCCAACTTTTCACCTTTTTTTTTTTTTTAATTTTGGTTTGTCACTGTAGGACATCCGACTTTTTAACTTTTTTATATTTTTATTTATTATTTTTTTGATATGATATACTAAAAAAGGTAAAAAATAATATGGACCTCGTAGTAAAAGAATTACAACTAGAATTTAAAAAATTAAATTGCTAACATGAAAATTATAATTAAAAATAAGTAAAATATTTTATCTATTTTTATCTTAATTAATGATACATTTCTTTTGCTTCTTAATATTTATATGAATATTTCTTAATATGAATAGTTATAAAATATAAAATTTTAATTTTTTCTATTTTTAAGATTTTATTTTCATTCATTTAACTAAGTGGAGGTCAAATGTGAGTGAGACCTGTAATTTAGATGAAAACCATTGTCAAACAAATTTTCATTTGTAAATGTTAAAATTTTAGATAAGATGTAAAAAATAATAAAATTTTTATCTTTTAAAAGATCAAATAAGATATATAGTAAAATTTGATATGGATATAATATTCTTATTGAAAATAATAAGTATTAGACATATAATAAAATTTATAGGGGATAACATCATTTAGATAAAAATAATTTTCTATTTAATTATTATTAACATATGGTAACAAATTAAAATATTTTGTAAGACCATATATAAGATACTTGCTCCATTAAAAAATGTAAAGTATTTTTAACAAAATTTTACCCTCTAATAAAATAGTTACTTACTTTTAAACTAACTGTCACACCCCAAAATAGGAGGTGATTGGCACAGGATGTGAACCAAATCATACATCCCGTAAGCCACAAATTTAAAGTTTATTTCATTTAATTAAAATATTTTTAATTTTACACTGTCATTTTAATACTATTGATATTAATCATTATAATAATTATTTCAATATTTTTGTAAAGATTTTGACAAAAACCTCCTCTAAAAATAAGATCTGCCAAAAATTCTGTATCACAAAAATTTTCCTTAAACATTATATCCATCAAGAGCTTGACTCCTTCCAGCCAGCAGACAAAATATATAATAAAACTAAAGATTATAATTATAAGTTATGTGGAGCACCTAATCATATATCTTATGTCATAATACATGAATTTCATATTTACATCTATAAGACATATTTAAAAAACAAACCTCCATTTTGTTCCGCAAACATCCATCATTAGTAAGCAAGACATACATCGTCAATTATGCTATCTGAGACCAAAATAATTTTTCAATGAATAACGTCCTAACAATAAATAATTGAACATAAAAAAATTAAACAATTATATAAGTTAAAGAGGCAACGATCTTTATAAAAAATTTAATAAACTTCAAAATAAAATAACTCTATAAAATTTTAAATAAAATCTCGAACCGTTAAAATCTCATAATAAATATTATTATCACTTGCTTGCAAATAAGCAAATAAATAAAATCAATAATTATAAATAATTTACTATTTAAAACCAATGGGATGTAAAATTACCAAATGATCAAATTCATATAATAGAGACTTATCATAACAATTAACAAATATGGACACACAGTCCACGAGGGTAGATAACCAAACGCAGCTCTCGCCACAAAATCAAATGTGGATACACAGTCCAAGAGGGTATGTAACCAAACGCAGCCAAAGCTACGAAACAAATGTGAACACATAGTCCACGAGGATACGTAACCAAACGCAGCTGAAGCCACGAAACAAACGTGAGTACGATGCTCACGAATAACCATCCCTCCATTCCAAGTGCGTTGGCCATCACACGGGACTAGCACCCCCTATACACACCTTGCTAGTTAGGTGTACCATCATGAGCCAGAGCTAATAGAACTGCCGTTAGCAACCAGTGCTCTGTATAAAATTCATTTTTAAAACCATTTTCAAATATACGAGAAAATCATCACTTTCAAGATATAGTTTTCATTTCCAAAATCAAACTTGCATGAATACTTTTAAGCATTAAAACTTGCCAGAATAAAATTTCATATCTAATGCTCATGCGTGCATTTATCGATAATAAAAAAAAATTTTAAAGTCAAACTCGCATGAATTATTCTCTGTATCAATTCAATATTTGATAAAATAAAAATCTCTTAATCAAAGTCCAAACTTGATTTAATTGATCGAATAATATTTCAAATTTGGTAAAGCTAATTTCTCAAAATAATGTTAATCAACAAATATCCAATAATCGCATTAATGCTATTAAAATGATTTCTAGAAAAACGTAATATTCTAGTAAAAGAAATTTTGATTTAAAAAAAATAATCAATTAGAATGCTATCCACTTACCTCCAATTTTCTAAAGCACAAGGTTCTCCTTTTACCACACTAATCGATTTTCTCTCCTTCCAAACTCCCTATATAATATATTAGAGTCTTAATAAACTTCTAACAATGCTTAAAACTCTCTTTCAACATTAACACATCTATATATATGTGTGTATGTGTCTATGTATATAATGATTATAGATTTAAAGCTTCAGAATCAAAATTTATATTAAAGTTTCTTTATGAACATAACTAGTTTTTCAAACCCCTCAAAAAGCCTTTGTAACATTCAAATCTCTTATCACACAATTTATCAACACCCATCCACGCCCAAGAATTCACCTAATTACAAGCCAGTTTCACAATAAAAATTCCTTAGCAATTTTGAATTTAGTTCATAAATTAATGACACCCACACTAACATACTTTTTACAAGAATTCATGAAATAGCAGGAAATATAAAATCAAGTAAAACTTCTTTTAGCAAACATTTGCCAAGCAACTCTTGTGCGTTAATTCTTAAACTCAAACCAAATTCCTTCTCCTTCTATTCCAACTCCCACAACTTGATAATAGATATATTTGAATCATACTTAAGCTTTCCAAATATGTATTCCTTAAAAGAAAAATCAATCTCAAGCACAAGGAATTCCTGATTCCTATCACCACATTTCATACGATTGAAGAAAAGAAAAGGAAATTTCCATAATTTAACCTACAGTACGCGCACACAGCAACTAAGAAGAAGGACTGAAGCTTCTCACCTTAGAATCACCGACGGCAGAAAAGGGAAAAAAAAACGACAGGAGCTGGGGAAAAGAAAATCATGAAACCATGGCAGCAACCACGAAGCAACACACAAACAGAGGGAAATTAAGGAGGAAGTTTCTTGCCACTCATGGTCTTCTATGGCCGCAAGCAAAATGAAGGAAGCTGTGAGTTTGACAACCCCCTGCCACAGCAGCCATCGGCAGCAACAAAATGCAGGGGAGGAAGAAAACGAATCTGAGTCAGAACAGGAGAGAAGAAAACAATAACTGACCAGCTTCCAACTCACGAATTCGGCCCTTATAAATCCTAGACCAGCTCCTCGTGTGCTCACAACTCTCAAATGGAAGAAATAAAGAAGAAAGAGAATCAGATCGCACCAATAACAGAGAAGGATGCGGAGGCTGACAGCAGAATGAGTGACCAAGAACCCGTTACCCGAACCACAGCACTCGCTTGCGTGACCGGCGACCCGAACAACGGTGAAGAGAGGATGGAGAAGCCAAGTGAGGGACCAACACTCTTTCATTCTCACGGGTCTAGAATTTTCGGAATGAAGGAAGAGAAGGAAGGAAGAAATAAAAGCACGTTTTGGTTTGATTTTCTCTTTCTTATATTCTTTTCTTTGTTTTCTTTGATAAGGCAAAAATGATAATTTTGTAGGGGTTGAAAAAAGTAAAATTTTCACTCTTTATATAAGAGCATTCAAACCTTACTCTTAAAGCTGACATCAATAATAATTATCATTGAGCCATTAGTTACCTTAATAAATTTACTTCAAAATATATAAATATAATCAAATTACCTTATAATCATTTTTTTCAAGCTTTCGAGTTATTATAATTATTAATTCTAATTTTACAATTATATTTTGGGTCGTTAAACTAACCGTATCTTTTCATATTTGTCCCTATTAAATACTCTCTAATAATTATAAAGTTAATATCAATAGGGGTCTTTTAAAAAAAAGATAATGATTATACCTCAAAAGACTAAAAATGCCTTACATTTTTGAACGTCTAACTCTTTAAAAAATACCTTATATTTTTAAATAGAGGGAGTAAGTTTTTATTTATATTCTTCAAATGCAAAAGGTATAAAAATATATTATTCTTTATTTATATGTAAAAGTTAATTATAGTTTGAATGCTTATGGAAAATATTGATGTAATTATGTGCCTCAAGTCTAAGCAAAAAATATTATGGGCTACAAGTTAATTATATAATATTAATGAATTTATCTTTTATTACACACCTAATCTTTTCTTATAATCATTAATTACTTGTAATTCTTATACATATGGTTGGTCAATGATATTAAAATATAGATTATATCATTTGCTTGATCTACAACCATTGTAATTATAATTTATAAATAATATTATCACCTAAATTATAGTACGATTCATTATAGTATATGTTTTATTTTCTTTAAGATGATACAATGTGCAACACATTTGAAAAGGAACAAGTTAGATTATCTTTCAAATTGTAGGAGGCACAAAATGTTAAAAAACAATCATATTTTTTTAGTATATATAAAAGTAACTCATTACAAAATAGAAATTGTTCCTTATAGGTATTATCCTATTAAAATTTTGATCTCATACTTGCCAACCATGGAAATACTTTAGGTAAAAATGAAGAAGTTGATCATTAAATTTTAACTTATACAGGATAATACATTTTAAAATAAAATAAATTATGATTTATATTTTTAACATATACAAACAAAACAAATTTTAAAATAAAATATTTTTTAGATTTTAATTTTCAAAAATCAAAAATCAATATATTATAGAGGAAAATGCACTTGTAGTCCTTTTATTTTGTTAGAATTATAAAGACCTCTTCTTTATTTAAAAAACTTATATTTTGGTCTCATTTTTAATATGGTTAGGAATATTATGTTAAATATTTTAAAATATTCAATTTATTATTTATATTTATGTTGAAAAAATTTAAATTATTAATTTACCCCTATAATCTATTTGTCTATCCTTTTGCTTCTTGATTTAAGAAACTTCAAACAATTGTTGGCAAAAAAAAAAAGTTTAACAATTAATTATGACAATAATTTAAAAATATTTTATCAAAATTATAAAATTCAAATAAACATAAAACATAAATTGTATTGATTAATTTATCTCTTATTCTATTAAGTCTTTTTTTCTGCACATATGTGTTTGAAATATTATTTTAATAACTTACTCCCTTAGTTAGAAATATAAGGCATTTGTTAAGATTATTTCTTAGGGTTGGATGTTAAAAAATATAAGATATTTTTAGTACGAACATTTTCCAAAAGTGTCTCTAATAAATAATTATTTCATATTTATTTTAGAGTAAAACACCTAATTAAATAGTAAATATAGAAAGATGATGTTATTTTAAAAATAAGTAACTACTTTATTAGGGATGAAATTTGGTTAAAAATGTTTTTCATTTTTGAAAAGATGGAGTATGCATTTAATTTTTTTTAAAAAAAACACTAAATAATTAGTTTGTATGACTAATAATTTTAAGATATAAATAAAAATTTAAAATAATATATTAATAATAATATTTTAGTCCAACATATATGACTTAACTATCAACTAATTATTGGATGGATGAAAATAAGAACTTAAATATAGAAAGTATATTTGTATTTTATGACTCTTAACTATTAATTTTAAGAGGGATTCATATAGATTTTAAAAATAAAAAATATTTATAATTAAGATAAAATAAAGGGAAAAGTAATATATTTTAATTTAAAGATATTAAAAATAATTTTTAATAGGGTTAAGGTAGGATTTGAACTCTAAGCTATAGTTCTAGAGGTGATTTAAACCCTAAATTTTTAAAATGTATATTTTAAACTTTAATAATTAAAATTAGAATAATTTTATCTCATCGTTAAATTTAAACAAACATCTATTAATTTTTTAAAATTAAAATCTAATGTATAGTTTTTTATCAAATTTTATTATTTTTCTCTCTCACTCGTGCATCACACGGGATAAAATTCTAGTTTTTTATAAAAAAATGATATATTTAATAATATGAATCTTGCTTTTATTGACTTTTCTTGATTTATATGTTGAATTTACTTGCTTTACTAAATGTACATGCTCTATTGGTATTGGTATATTTGATAAATAAACTGAATTCTTGCTCTTCCCATATCTGATCCACCTTTGCAGTAGTGGCAACCTTTTTAAGGTGCTTTAGTGCCTTTTCAAAATACCCTTTCTTGGTTATTATGAATCCTACTTGGTTATAACACCACTTATCACTCCAATTGAGGAGTAAGAAATGGTGTTATACCATAACTCAACCAGTAGGTGCCATTTAACCTAATGTTTTGGGAAATCACTAGTCATGCAATAAAGGTAGCACTCCAAGTAACGATTAAGCACTTCAATTTAGCCATCACTTAGGGGATGATAAGCTAAAGGAAAATGTAATTTAGCCATATAAACCCTAGCAGCTCCTTCTAAAACGTACCACATAAGGTTGAATCACTATAAGAAATAATAGACTTAGGAAAGCTATGCAGCTTAACAACATTATCGATAAATATATTAGCAACATCAAAAGCAGTAAAAGGATGTTTCAATGCAATAAAATAGGCAACCTTAGATAAACAACCAATTATGACCAAAATAGTAGTCTTAAAGTAAGACTTAGGAAGGCCACTAATAAAGTCCATAAAGAGCCTAGACCAAATGTATTCAAGTATGATAAGTGTAATGCCTGCCTTGACAATACTAGGACAACACATTTACATGCCGTTGTGATAACCAAAATTAAATAAAATACCAAATGAAAGTTATCACAACCTAAGGATTAAAAAGATAATTAGTTTAAAACATTAGGATCCCAAGAAAAATCCTTTTTAAAATATTGTTTGAGCTCAAATTAAAATTTAAAATCGATCAAATATGATAATGAAAGTATAGAAACACAATTTGCACTTAAAAGCACACTTTGAGCAAAACTAAAAAATTTAAAATTTGCACCGTTCGCCACAGCACATAAATCATCCATCATGATGGATGGCACAGAGAGCCAAGCCCTCATTGGCTCATATGTTGCGATGTAACTACCACGTGCCGCGGTGTACTCTGCTGGCATGATAGCACCACAGACCACCTTTTGGAGCACGTCGTTCACCATTTGAACGATTTGAGTGTCTATATGAAGCTTTTCGAACTGTCTAGCTAATGGCACTAGTCTCATACTCAAATAATTATTCATTAAAAAGATGAATACCTGAATTTAAAATAGTTTAGTTTCACCTCAAAAAACTTTCAATGGTGTCCAAAATACACTACCAAATCCCATTAGCTCTGGAATCACTTTGACCACCTTAAATGGACCATACACAACACACATGGCCATTCATATCACGTAAATAACTAAACATACTAAAAATGACCACCAAACCTCCCATTCACAACAACACAAAGGGGTGGATAAAACTTAACGCAAATATTGTTTTGATCATTTTCACACATAAATCATCACAATTATATCACTTGTATTAGTATCTTAGCCGAAACACTCATTCAATCATAATAGCATCAATCTTAGGCCAGATACACATACATTCCATAATTTCTCATGCAAGTGATAATAAAATAATGAAATGTTCCTAAGTTGGCATTATAATATAGCATATTTGTTACAAACCTAAAAAGAGGAAAGAGAAGAGCTATACAACAATGCTCTTCACTCTTTACTCATCCCTTCTTTCCCATTGCCCTTATAGAAGCCTTCACCTATAAAATAGGACCATAGGGCAAGATAAACATTTTGGTAACAGAATAATTTGTAACGTTCTAAAATTTTCAATTAATAATTATCAGTGTTTCCAAGGGTACTTTGATCAATTGGATAAATTATTGATTAATGAGGTTTATGGGATACTAATATAGTTTTTGGATCCTTAGATAGCCTTAGAAGAAGGCTAGGGCAATGTTTGAGCAGGCTATGGCATGAAAGAAGTTTAAGTTTGGTGAGATTTTTTGTTCCATGCGCTATGATGTACGCACAAAATTAGCATTTATCAATCACGAAAACAAATCAAAAATAGATGAAAGAAAGAGAGATAGTGAGAGAGTGATGGAGAAGAGCTTGTGTTTTGCTAGGGCACAATCCTTAGGCTATATTGGAAGCATTTAGAGCTTAAATCATCATTGGATAAGTTTCACATTTCCTCTTCTCCCTCTGTTATGCGAAATTTCTAACTTACGTAGTAATATGGGGTTGATCTTGGATCCTTTAGGTTTAGACCGAACCCATTGGATTATTTAAGGTCTTGAGGAGTTAAATCAATCCTCTAATCTAAGTTTATGAGTTTTATGGTGATTGAGAATTTTATTAAGGGTTTGGATGAACCCTAGGTATAATGTGAAGATTTTGAGACAATATAGGGAATTGGATGATGAATTTAGTGTGTTGGAATGTTTAATAGGATAGTTAAAGTATTTTAAAATGGTCGGTTTGGTTAGGTAAGGAATTTGGGTGTTATAAGAACTT